TTCAATTCAAAAATATGCATAATTAATGGAAAAAAAAAAAAAAGATTGTCTAACTATTATGTTCGTCTAATAGTAGTCTTAATGAAAGGTTTCACTTGTTATTTTTTTCTAAGGGGTTAATTTTACATTTTTTTTTTGAATTGAAAGTTTTAATTAATTAAGACGTTTGAAAAGGCTTAAACATATTTAAGGTTTAACATAACGAGAATTGTGGAGTCCTTTAAACTAAAATAATGAAAAATAAATGGTCCTCACAATTTTTCAAATTGCAAAAGTCTTTCATTACAAATTAAGATGTATAAATCTATTAATATATAATAAGGATTATGTTTTCCATCTTCCAGTTGTATTGCCCTGATCTTCAAACCCTTCCTCTTCATAGAGATTTCGTTTCGGGCATATAATTCACTTTTAGAAACACTTTCCCGCCAATTTCATTAATTATTGCCTAAAAATAGTAAATTAACAAATTTGTGATTTATTAGCATGTATGTTCCATTTTTTTGGGAATACAATTCAAAACTTTTATATTGGTAGCTAATATGAAATCAAAATCCAAATAAATCTCTTCTTTTTGTGGCAGCATATCCTGCGTTTTTTATGGAGTCTGTCAAATAAAAGATAAAACTATATCAATTCATCAACAAATTAAATAATATAATAATACATTTAGGAGATTCATCAAAGTAGCACTCTCATGTATTCATAGTATCCACCCAAGAAAAAAGTCATTTTAACAAACAAATATTTTAATTAACCGATTAAAATTTAAAAGGGTTAATTGCTAAATAAGGCTTAACCGTTTTGCGTTTTGCAATTTTGTCAACTTGCTACGTGGATGGCATAAAAGCCGTGTCAATGAAAGACTTAGACACAAAATCTATCTACAAATCCCTAAAATCAATCACTCTATACCCAAATATGCAATAAGTAAATTGAGGTCGAGATTATATTGCAATTACCCTAAGATTGGGATAAAAATGCCAAACCAAAAAAGTTAAGGTTTATTTAGTAATTAACCCAATTTAAAAAGCTATTGAAAATAACATAAGATATTCTCGGATCCTGCCATTATAAATTAACCGATTAAAGATTAAATCATTTTATAAAATATCTATTTTTATGAAAATTATTTCGTTCAGTGCAATTTTTTATCTACAAGATTTTAAAAATTAACCGATTAAAAACTGAAATCATGTTTACAAGTTGACAATACATATATTTCTTTTACCACATAAATGACAAAGTAATGTTATTGGACATGTTATGTTCTCAATTTTTATTTTATGAATTAAAAAAAAAATATAAACATGCAATATAAATAACTACAAAATGATACTCGATTCTGTAGATACATGATTAACATTCAAAATATCCTTTCTATATACAGAATGTACAATCTCCACATAGTTACTTAAATTTTATGTGAATATATATATATTATGAATCAAAACAAGAAAATGATCGTCGTAATCAAAATAGATACATAAGATCCATACAAAATGAAATTCTAATCAACACAAATCAATTTCTTTATGAAACATGTTTTCCCTAAAAAAAATATGAATTACGTATACTCTGATTATTTTAGTTAGTTTTTAACTATAAATAATCAAATATCTTTGTTTTGTAGGTAATTATTATTGTAAATATTGTTTTACATGATAAAATGTGATTTCATGTCCATCGAATCTCTATGAAAAAGTAACAATACAAAAAAAAAAGTTCTAATTATTTGAATGGATTTGATATAAAAACTAACTAGATAATTAATAAAAGTAAAGATATAATCAAAATCCACACTTCAAGGTAACAATTTTGGTTATATTCCATATATATCTATCTTAAATCCCATGAATCACACATTTTGTATTTATTACAATATTACTTATTTTCAGTGTATTTTTATTTCCATAATTTTTATTGCTAAAATGATTAGTATGCTTATAAATATCATATCGACTCCAGCCGAAAAAATCACCATTTATGAACATACAAAAAATTAGAAAATCCATAGTAAGTGCCAAACAAAAAATGGACCAACCTTTCGTTCTTATCAAAGATGTTGAAAATACAAAGAGAGTTATATTGCAACTTCGAGAGGTTCACGTGTTTGAGATTAAATTTCCTAATTCTTACCACAACATCGTGGAAATTATTTTCATGATATTGAGGTATAATATTATTTATTGTTTCTTTTTCTTTTCATGTTCGATTCACTATTTTATTTAACCAACAATTTATTTTGTTTAGTGAGCACACAATAAATTGTCTAGGGAGCACACATCACCAGTTTGGTTTGGGGGTTTAACATTCCGAAAATCCGAAAAGAATTAGAAGATGAAGATGTTTATGCAATTTGCAACTACAAACTAGAAAGAAATCTTAGTAAATATGGATCTATAATTACCAAGTACAAAATAATTTTGCATAGAAAAACAAAAATCATAGTCAACCCAACCTATTTCTCTATTTTCAGATTTGACTTTTGAAATTTGCAACATGTTGTGATGTGGAAAATGTCGATGAGTCTTCACTTTTCGATAAAAATAACTATCGAATATGTTCATTATCATATCTAACAATGATTAAATAAATATTTTTTATTTCTGATGAATGTAGATGTCATTGGGTTGGTAGCAGAAATTCAACAAGTGCAATTCAAGCAAGTTGCAGGACAACATACCCAAATGATTGACTTTACTCTTCTCGATTTGGAGTAAGTATGCGCATAAAGGTATTTAATTATTATATACATTTAAGAAAAATTTATTAGTAGAAATTATTATTTTATCTATTATAGGGACAATACTATTAGTTGTGAGAGTCGTTATAAAGGCAAAGGTCATCCATGAGTTCTCATAATGTAGCTTGGTATTCTCATAATGAAGCTTGGTAGAGTAAGGTTGTGTGAGGGTAGTATTAAAAATTAAAGTATTATAAATTTTGATATTTTTTAATTTTGCTTTTTTATATATAATAATTTGATGGGACAAAGCTGTGGGTTGGTTGTATTAATTAAAACCAATAATGTTATGTACAAAAAGATTTTTAATAATGTATAACTTTTTTATGACGAATATTTCGTGATCAAGTGACAAATACTCTACGTATTATACGTTATAAATTATTAGCCTTCAATTTATAAATTTTACCAAACTAAATATAGCCCGTGCATCGCACGGGTTACATACTAGTTTTCTTGAATGAGTTCATGTAATTGCTTTTTTGTCCAAAAAAAAAAAAAAATCCAAGTAGATATGCTAAATGAATCATAATAGGGCTATCAATTAAATCATAACAAAACCTTTTTTTCTTTTTTTGTTCAATTTGTTAGAAATTCCTCCCTATATCTAAGAATACAATGGAAATTTTGATTGTGGGATCGTAATAAATTTATTTGAGTGTGCATGTGTGTCCCTATTGCATTTTTATCATTCCATCTACACAGACTCATATAAGTATGTGTATGATCCAATAGTACAACACCCGAAGAGGATATTACCATTCCATCTACACAGACTCATATAAGTAGTATGATCCAATAGTACAACACCCGAAGAGGATATTACCATTCCATCTACACAGACTCATATAAGTATGTGTATGATCCAATAGTACAACACCCGAAGAGGATATTACCATCACCGCAGGACCGAATCTACCTACATAATATTTTGTCCAATAATCCCAATTACAATAAAAATAAGTTCTTATTAAATGGAGCTTTTGGGCACTTTCAAATTAGTCAAAAAGATCTCTCATCAAAGTGGACCTCGAAAAGGCCTATGACTTCCTTCGCTGGGATTTCATTCAGGAAACCTTGCATCTTGTTGGGTATCCTGGAAAACTTGTTTCAGCAGTTATGGCATGCGTGCGCTCGGCCTCGATGAATGTGTTATGGAATGGTATGATGGGTGTTTCGACCCACGAGAGGTATACGACAAGAATACCCAATGTCTCCCTATCTCTTTGTCCTCTGCATGGAAAGATTAGCGCAACTGATTAATCGATCGGTTAACAACCACGAGTGGCGGTCGATCTCGGTGGGGCGGGTCGCAGTTTGCGTTCCTTTTTTAATGTTCGCCGATGACCTCCTCTTATTTTTAGAGGCCTCGGCGGACCAGGTAGCCGTACTTACGCACGTCCTTGATAGTTTCTGCTCTAAGTCGGGACTCAAAGTGAGTGCCGAGAAAACCAAAGTCTTGTTCTCTGCAAATGTTGCCACTCAGGAGCAGAATCGTCTGGCCTCGATCCTTAACTTTACCCTCACTGATAATTTAGGAAAGTACCTGGGAGTTCCGATTATTCACGGACGTGTCAGAAAGGATACGTATTCTCACATCCTGGACCGGATAGAATCCAGACTTGTGGGGTGGCGGATGAAGTCGTTGTCCCTGGCTGGTCGAGTAACCCTTAGGCAGTCAGTCCTCAGCACGTTGCCCTATTACACCATGCAGACAGCCATGATACCGGGGGTTGTGGCGGACGGCCTTAAAAGGCGTAGTCGGGCTTTCGTGTGGGGTGGAACCAATGAACGCACAAAAGTACACTTGATAGCCTGGCAAAATATATGTAAGCCGAAGGAGGATGGTGGTCTGGGCATCAAGGACCTTCGACAAATGAATAATGTGTTGCTCATGAAACTGGGTTGGGGGCTATTGACGAAACCAAATGCACTGTGGGTCCGTGTTTTGACAGAAAAGTATGCCTTAAATTTCTCAGAGGACCTGGTGTCGTTTCCTTCGAGGCGTGGCTCGGCTCTGCTCCAAGCCATCCGTAAAGTTTGGCCCCAGGTTACTCGCGGTGTTCGATGGAGTCTAGGTGATGGCACCCGGATACGTTTCTGGCTAGACCCGTGGTTGGGTACGGGTGAGCCACTGGTTCGACTGGTCCATAATCGAGCCCATATTGCGAATCTTTTTTCTCTCGTGGCAGATCATGTAGATGAACGCGAAAATTGGGCGTGGCCGAGTTTCCAGGGTCTGCTACCGTCGGCTGTGATCCTCCCCACGAGATACAGCTGGGGCCGATCGCATTAGATGGGTTTCTCGGATGATGGTACATTCTCTACACGATCGGCTTATCGGGCATTATCTGTCCATGCGCGTATCCATGACCGTCGTTTATGGTGACTTATTTGGCATGCCCCGGCCCCACAACAGGCACGTATGACGTTGTGGATTGCGGCTAATAATCGGTTGTTAACAAATGTCGAGCGAGCTCGACGCCATTTGTCGGAGTCAGCTCTGTGCAGCGCCTGTGGAGATGATGAATCGACCATCCACGTCTTGAGAGACTGCCGGGATGCGAGAGCGACATGGAAGCTGCTGCTTGGGAATGCTCCTGTGGGAGATTTCTTCCATCAGCCATTGACTGAGTGGCTCTTTACCAATCTCCAGAAGTACAGGCTGGGACCTCTTGATAATTGGCCTTGTACTTTCTCGGTTACCATTTGGAGGTTGTGGTCGTGGCGTAACGCTCGGATATTCAAAGGTTCGGTCCTTAATGGTGAGGCTCGCAAATTTGAAGTAATACGCATGGTGACATCCTATGGCCGGGCTGTGGAAGACTATAAAAAAGTTGGGGCTAACACGTATAGTACACGCATGATTCGATGGGTCCCTCCGGACCCTGGGTGGCTAAAAGTAAATACGGACGGAGCATTCTGCCACGAGTCAGGACTAAGTACTACGGGTAGGCTGATCCGAGATGACATGGGCCGGTGGACCATGGGCTTCATCATGAATATTGGCGCTTGTACTATCACCGGAGCTGAGCTGTGGGGGCTCTTCCAGGGTCTTTCAATGGCTTGGGATTCGGGCTTTCGACGGATTGTCGTTGAACTTGATAGCCAATGTGTTACAAAGATGGTGATGAATGAGAATGGTGATTTGGGGGTGCATGAGACTATGGTGAAGGCTATCCAAGACCTTTTGAAAAGGGAATGGACTGTTCGTGTTCAACATGTTCATAGAGAGGCGAATTTCGCAGCTGATCATTTGGCGAGTTTGGCTGCGTCTTTTCCGATTGGCTTACATCGATTCTCCTCACCGCCTCCTGGAGTTTGTGCCTGGCTCGAGCACGATATTTTTGGGGTCTCATACCCACGTAGAGTTCTAGACTAGTTATTTAAACACCTTCTTT